GAGGAAAGCATTCAGCTTTGAATCCACTACAGCTCAGGTATTCAGGAAACTCGTAGGAGATTAAGAACATTGTACATTTTATTTCTTTAAAAATCTCCAGTACTATGGAAAGTAAGAAGATTTGATAGTTGTTATAATCATAAGGACTGCCATAAAATCTAAAGCATGAAAATTCTTCAGATATTGTACCTCCAGTCTTACACTATGTTAATGCAGAATCAAATTCTTCCCTGTGACCTCTCAAATAGCCTAATTTCCTATTAAGAATGCCATCAGATTAACTTAACTCTATCTGAGACATATGCATGTCAGATTACCTACATTTCTTTTTTCATGTAGAGATGCCACTTGTAATTTAATAATCAATGAGAGTTTTTTACTAAGTAGCCCATAAGCAGAATCTTGAACTTAGAACCTCCAACACATCTCACTGTTCTCATGAAGTCGAAGAAGTCCTGGTAATAACCAAAGACTGCTGTTCATTATGTGGAGACCTCCTGGAGTTAAGGCCACACATGCCAGCGAGTTGAGGACTGTAAGGACTTTCAGCAGGCAGTGAAAACTGCTCACAGAAATGAACAGTAAGTGAATACGGGTGACTGGAGCCTCAAACTCAGAACAGGAAACAAACAGGGAGGGACTGAGAGGCTCCTGAGATTAGAGAACCAAAGGGAACAAGATGTCACAAACTGACCAGAATTGTGGTTAGCAGGGCAGAATTCTCTGCTGGCTCACAGGCCTGTTCCCAAACTGAAAGGATACAAGTGACAGAAGGAGGCAGCTGTGGCAGGGAATGGAAATGTGCTGACTCCTAACAACTTTCAACAGCAGCAACTCTCTTCAAGAGCACAGTCACTGGTGTGACACAAGCAGGCACTTCCTCCAAAACATCTTCCATAAAAGGGAGAAAACTGAAAGATCATGTGGACAACTGAGGCCAAGATTAAAAGGTTTTAAGGAAAAACAGTAAGGATGTAGAGGTGAGAAACACAAGAGACAAGGAGCTGGACAGTAGCGCTTGGGAGGAAGTCTATGCTGTGGGGCAAGATAACTGCTAAATCTGGAAGTTCAAATTTATTTAGCCATGGGGTTTTTTTGTTCCAGATAATTCCTGGATGCAACAATCCAGATTAGATTACTGTAATGCACTCTACAAGGAGCTACATACTACAACTCCCTGGAAACTGAAGCTAGAGCAAAATTCTTATTAAGCTCATTTTCATTCTAGGAGTATTACACCCACACTTCAGATACACACTGACTGCCAAAATGTTTCCTAGGTGGAAATTAAGAAAGATTGCCAACTCTCAAGCCAAAACTGAAGAGAATAAATTTAAGTTTTTGTGCAAAGCTGCAGAATTATCTTTTTTCCCTGGTTTTTAACAACTAGTAAAAAATGGTTAATATATGTTATTGACATGGCAGCACTCAATCTCCAGAACTTTATTTATGTCAAATAAAAATCAGATGCACCAGCATAACCAGGGACCACATCATGACCAACTGTAACAAGACCATGTATATGGGCAGATGAGAGTTAGAGTCTTCCTACTGTTTATGAAGTTTCCTTACAATTTGACCAGAGTTAGGTCCAGGCAAGGATGGCAAAAAAAGGTCATCTATGCCTCTCCCTAGAGAGCAAAAAAGGAGGGAATACAGTGAAAAAGTGGCTGGAAATTTGTCTTTGTTCCCTAACAGCAGCCAGAAGACCTAAACACATCCACAGTATCTGAAAAAAGGTGCTCAACTAGTTCCTTCAAGAGAAGTCAGAGTACTCCTATCCTCCACTAAGTCTGGAGTCGTTCTGCCACATGCTGCCCATGGCAGGATAGGAAACTGGGTAAGAGTTATAACAAAAAAAATCTCATTAAAAAATGTCAATACCTGAACAGGAAAGCTTATAAAAATTATGCCTATGTCAAACAGGATGCCCATCTTCCAAGAACCCGCTGCTACACCTTTGTCTTTTCAAAGGGTAAATATCTTATATCTTATTCTTTGTTAAAAACGTGTACTCCAGTGCCCATGTACATACTTTAACAGCATGCATTTCTCTATATAAATGTAGCATGTAGATTAGAAAATCCAGTATTATCTATAGAAATGAGGAATGTTTCAAATTAACACTGTCCTGCTGTCTCTGCCTCTCAAGAAGTTGGGAGAAAACTTTCAAAATTCCTCCCTAGCATTCACCAAATTAAACTGTATTTATACTACAACATGCAAAACTTCTTCATCTCCTTAATAAACTAAAAATGCTTTCTGATGATTTGCAGGTTTATTATTTTCCCAGTTTATTCTTTGCTTTTAAACCACATGTTGGATCACAGTCACATATCTAGAATCTGTGTGTAATATTGAATGGGAAATGCAGGTTTCTATGGCACACAGCAATCAAATTGCTGCACAAATGAATGCTGTAAAGAGAAGCAAATAACAACACAAAAAGTAAAGAAAAAAACAAAAATCCATAATTGAAAAATGTAAGACAAAGCAATGCCAAGAGTTCACTCATGATTACCCTTGACTATGCTGTTCTCAAAGATTATTTCAGCAAGGATTTTGCTCTGAATCTCCTGTTTGCTTCCTTTACAAGTAAACATATCCTGGGCTAATCCACTGTTCACAGAGACTGTGGAAATTTTGGAATGACAGCACTTCAGGAGAACACTTATTCTGAGTCCAGCACAAGATGAAATAAAGCTATATTCTTCTAACCTGGTCTTAGAGACCTCCAATAAAGGACCTTCCATTACATGTATATGAAAGAATGTCCTCATTTTGTTTCCACTTACAGATTCATTAGACTCAAAGTGAAAAAGTCTTCTTTTTAAGAACTACCTAGTTATTCTTGGCAAAATTAAATTTACTGCTCCTACCCTTTCTCCATTGGGCACTGGAATACAATTGATCATCATCCTCTTTACAACAACATTTTATGTATTAGAAGACTTATGTCTCCCCTTTGGTATTTTCTAGACTAAACAAACCATGTTCTTTAAGCCTTGCCCACAGGTCATGTTCTCTAAAACTTCTATCATTCTTGTTGCTCTCCTTTTGTCCCTTTCTACTTTGTCTATGTTCCCTAAAGCATGGAGATCAAAACTGTAAACAGCTTTTCAGATGAGCTCTCAGCAGTGCTCAAAGGAACAGAATAATTGCTTCCTGCTCCTTCTCCAGTATTATATCTACCCCAGAATTAGATCCAGCTTCATTGCAATGGTATTCCACTGTGCAATTTAGATTCCTTTTTTCATGCTATTACCTCATCAGCACATGTGACTTCTCCCCTGTAAGCAGACTTGTCTTTGCTAAATTTCAAATTACTTATTCTAGACTCTCCAGTTTTTCAGGACTGGAGCAGCTTACTGAGCAGTTTGACTGCTCCTACTGTGCTTGGAGCTTCTTACAGCTCAATTCATGATCAACAATATTAATGGCATTTCTATTTCACCAATGAAATCATCTCTAAAAAAACTCCACAGAATCAGATAAAGGACAGGCCTCTTTGGAACCCTGCTGTAACTGGCCCTCCTGTCTGAAAATGAGCAATGGAAAATTTGCCTATTGGTCTACCCATCTCATGGCAATCTCATAATTATTTAAATTACAAAATAAAAATTTTAATTAAAGCTTTTATTATTGCAATTCATTTTACATCAGTTATTCATTACATTACAAAATTATGTATTTATTTGCATATAAAGATACCTGGTGAGACAATGTTAAACACCTGATGAATTAAAAGCCACCACTTTCTGCTTTAACCACAAAACCAGTTACCCTATCAAAGGGAATTAGATTTGCTTGACATAATTTTCCTTGGCAAATTCAAGCAGACTAAATATAGGATGGGTGTGCAGAACCTGCATTATTTTTTAGAGAATGGCCCAAAACCATGACCTAGGAAAAAAAGCTGAAAGTGCTAGCAAATACTATTAAAATAGCTACAATTTTATGTGCTCCATCTGTAATCATGCATCTATTTCCACCATTCATATAATGTCTCAATATTCCTGAATATGTTTTGATACTGACTTTCATTACACTTCTTGTCCATTCTCTTCCCTGAATAAGCTGTTACCGTGCACTGAAAAGCACTTGACTAAATGTTAGCTCTTTTACATTGTCTTGTGCCTCAATATTTTTTCACAGGTTCAGGTTTCTTAAATAAGTTGAAAACAGTGTCTGGGTTTCAGTAACACTCTGATGGTTATTACCCATTTTTTCACATTTCTTGCCTTCATTCTGGGTTTTTTTTTTGTTCTGTTCCTTGCATAAAGCCAAAACCTTTTTTATTTTACAGATATTTCCATACAATTTTTCCTTCTTTTATAAGCTCAGCCAACTTATCTCTGTTAATCAGAAACAGAACCAAACCAAGACAGCAAGTCCTTAATTCCCTTCTCCTCTTTCTGACAGAAAAAGTTGTTCTTAACAGGTTCCAAGAATTCAAAAGATAATGTGTTATGCTGTTCATGTTTGTGGTTTGTGTTTTTGTTTTTTTTTTCTTTGTCTTAGTATCCAAGAAATCATGTTTTCTCATTCTTACCTGTTTCTGACTCTAACACAATTCTATTGGTCATGCTGTAAAAAAGTGTCGTTTGCCTCTTAGCTTCCTCCTCCCAGTTAAGTGGTCTATCGTGCATCCCCATTATATTTTAAACCCTGTTCTTCTACCCAGACATTATGAACTTATAACCTATTTTAGTATCAAAAAATGATTTTTCATATAAAAGCAATGCTAAATTTTTCCTCAGGCTCCTTCACCTGAAAATTAGTTACTTCCTTCTACAGACTGTTTTTCTACTCTAGAAAAATAAGACACCAGACAAAAAGCCAAAAATTTAAAGTATTTCAGGATGGAAATAAGTACCAGAGCTGTTAGTTTCAGTTCAAAGAATGTATCATTGCTTATTAGCTCTTCTGAAAATTTCTTTTATTCTCAAATAGCAAAATGACAAAGTTGTAAACTGAGGGTGAAGAAAGAGGTGACCAACCTGATCTGGAGAGGGTCTGTGGTTGTGTTGTGTCCTCCCAGGAGACCGATGGTGGTGGTGGTGGTGATGGTGGTGGTAGTGGTGATGGTCATCATCATAGTTATCTGCCATCAGCTTCATTCTGTTCTGTGTCTGTTCAAGATGCAAAGCAAGACAATTTTATTACGTGTTGGAATGTATTATTCTGACAGTGTTTTAGGAAGATCTTGGCTCTGGGGGGTTTTTGGGAGTTTTTTGGGGTTTTTTTTGAGCTGAAGGATCTAAGAATAGAAATCCAGACTGCTGGCTCACAAAGAAAAGGAAAGAGAAACTGAGAAATAAAGTATGTGAACACATCCTCTGTTTCAGCTTTCACATCTACAGGATGACATGAAAAAGTTAGAAAAGTAAATGTTGATGGATGATGTGTTTGAAGGGCAAAAGTCATTGAGATTTTCTAAATATATTATTTTAGAGCTGTTTTCTAATTTTTGCAGTCTAACATTATGTCTTAGCAATCAACTTTTTAAATCTCACTGAAAGGAGTAGTAAATGTACTTCAAACGTTTACAATTAGCTACCAAGGCATGTCAACAACAGTCATGAATAGTTGTTCTAAAAGTTCTATTTTGGGTAATTTATTTTAATTGTACACCAGGATCACCCTGCTAAACAATGAGTAAAACAAATCTGAAAACTAAGTGATCGAGACCCTGGCACTTAGAGAAATAAGTGATTATGGAACTTGACATGTTACTGAATGGAAGTAAGTCTAAGATACAGATCTTGGAAAAGAGATCAACACTTCAGCTACAGCTATGTACAGATAATAAAATCTATGTCACCATGGGTTAACAAGATATATTGCAGCTCTTTATCACTATTACAATTATTCCATACCATGAAATACATAGACTTGAATAATTCAAACCTTGCTCATAACACCAAAAATATCCTACTACCAATAGTCTGATACCATTGGATACAGTTGTTATTTTTTTCTTGGTACCAGGACTGACAACTCTCTCAGGCAAACCTGTTAAACTGCAATCAAGTTTTAATTAATTTGCACTAGCCAAACCCAGAAACAAATATTGTCAACTTACAAAGATCTCTTCCAAAATTAAAACAATCAGTTAGAGGCATATACAATTAATAGCACACGGATGAGTGAAGGAAAGATAGCAGTCTTAAATCACCTGATGTCATGCTCCAAGGCAGCAGGATTCATGGTAACCCATGGAGGATGGAAGACAAACACATTCCCCAGGACTTTGCCCACATTAATGAGTTCCAAAAGGATTAACATAAGCAGATGAATTTGAACACAACTCATTTGTTCAGTATACTCCCATATTAACTGGTCCAACTGCCTTCCAATGCAGAGTGCCCATGAGATAACTTCTGTCCCATAGTTAGTATGTGGTAAATTTACACCCACAACTCCTGTAATTTGATTTTTCTTTGACAACAATCCTATATCAAAGTCTCTTGTTTGGAAAATTTCACTGGCAAGTATATTTTAATTGAAAATTAAATCAGATATAGCAATCAGAGATTGCTATTAAATTCCCTAACTTTAATGTTTTTTTTCTGAAGTTGAAAAGGGATTTGAAAAAAAACAAGAAAATTAAATATTCATATTGCATAACATTTCATAACAAAGTCTAATGCAAGGAAAACAGCCACAGAATCCTAGGAAATCCTGATGTGCCTTTTCAGCAATTAATTTTTTCAGTTGTCACAATGCTTCTCAAGCACTTCAGATGCTGTTCAATAGAGTATCATAGAAAACTGCTTTACAGGAGGAGAGCTGTACTCAGTTTAACTAAATACAACCAACTAACCCAACCAAACCCTCAAGACATCCACAACAAAAAGACAGAGGAAAATCACAGGTCAGATGTGCACTGCCAGACTGTTTGAGCATCTCCATAGCACTGTAAGAGCATTTTCTCAGTATGCTATAGACTGACAAGAATCTGCACAGTTGGAAATATTTCATTTTCTCCCTCCCAAATACAAAGATGGAAGCAAACACCTGTATGAATTTCAGTTGTGACATTTTGCTAAAAAGATCATCTCAATCTGAATCAGAGTTGATCTGTTTGTCTTCAGGTTCAAAGAGGAAGACCTTGTGAACAAAGGAATGGAAAAGATGGAGAATTAATAGACAAATAATAAGCCACTTACTATAAACACTGTCATATGCTGCCTCTTTGGGGAAGCTCCTAAAATTTTATTAGTTTATTTTCTTATCAATGAACAGCCTTAAATTTCCTACCTTTCAACTGTATTCCATAAAGAATGCAAAAGTTAAACAAGATGAGATATGCAATCCTAAAAGTGTCCTCTGTAATGAGGTGTTGGGGATTAGGCGTGTCATGGGATAAGAACTGTAAATGAATGATGTCATCTTTCTAATTTGGTGCTGAAATATAAATAAACTACTTCTAATGTTTCTTCCTTTTGCATGCCAGATTGCAGTAAAATGTGCACAAAGTAATGGTAATGCTCTAGTAGCCTTCTTTTAGTGTGCTGTTCTGGGAGCCAAATATACAAGAAATATGAAATGAGAATTTCTTTTCCACTCAAGTAACCATCAAACCATCTAAACTTCGACATGACTTATAACTGTCATTAATTTCTTTAAATGATGCAACTTATCTGGCAAAATACTACTTTTAAAAGCTTTTAATTTGTTAGCTCTTCAAATGTTAGCAAATTTTGATATTCTGTTTGTCTTTGCTTTAGATACTGCTGGTGCTACATTTCCACACTGAACTGGACTTTCCAGGTATACTTACCTTTGACTTAAGAACTACAAATACCTTATGATTTCAAACTTTTAAAAGCAAGACTTTTGAGGAGGACAAGCAGGAGGATTTCTGGAGAACAAAAGCAAAGCCATCCTGAGGAACAAAGCAATCCATTTCACATCCTTCTAAACAAAAATCTGTAACATTATTTCTGTTTTTCTCCCTTTGCTAGCTTTTGATATTTAGCAGGCATTGAAATGCCAACTGTATTTGTATTTGAGGAAGGAATTAATTAACCACATTTTGTTCAGGAAGTTGTTCAGGACCCCAGGGCTTCACACCCCTACATCCCCATGCAGGCACACACAGAAGGCTGTGTACATGTTGGGACACTGGTTTATCAGTCAGAGGAAAATCCTCATGGTCTGAGTGCCAGAACAACACATTCAGGGACTGCTTCAGTGCTGCCTGAGAGGGGAAAATACCACTCAGTGACCTGGCAATGCCATCATTTCCTGCAACATCTTCAGCACGCCTGAAAAGTTCCTATTCAAGGACACCCAAGACCTTTTCTTATATTTCTTTAGAAAGCCCAGCACATTGCTCACTATGACTTTTCTAGATGATCAAGAAATTGAATCTTGAAATATATGATTAATGAAAATTAGAGTGGTGATCACACATGCATTCAAACTGTGTAATATCCAATGTGTACCTGCACAATCTAATGCTTACTCTGCACAAGTCACACCTTATCTGAAATAGTTCTATTGCACAGGTCAAACTTTTATTCATACTCTTATCTCAAACCTGAAAATAGGGATTCACAAAATTTTCAAAGCCACAGCTCTCACAAAAAAATTGTCATGTCAATGTTCTTTTGGAAAATGTCTAGAGAACAGGCCCACACCTGAGAAGTGACATGTTTTAATTTGGATTTATATTAGAAAAGAAAAACACATTAGCTTGTAAAACTCAACAATTAATTAACTCTGTCTCCCAAAGACCATGTATGACCTTATTAGTTCGAGCCTAAACAGTGTCCTCAGATTTTTTTTTCTTAATTTATTGACTACATTCAAAAAGTGCTGCGTCCATTTTGGAATAAAGGAATGATGGAGGAATTAAAAGCAGCTTAGATCTACTTGCACAGGTATATTAACCCTTAGGGCTTGAAACAGTTGTCTTTGATCATTCAATATCACTATTTGCTAAGCTGTCAAGGTCATGAATGGTATGTGTAACTGAATTTTTAACCCACTTACCAAAGAATTTATGACCTAGCACTGTAAGAAAACTGACAGATATTTCTTGTCCTCCTAAAAGTCTGTTGAGTTTAAGGAAGGATATACCAAAGTGAAATGAAAGTCTTTGATTGACTGGTAACAGACTAAATAGCTTAACAGCAATCTGTAACTGTAAAACTGTAATATTAAAACTGTCTTTTACAAAATATTTTAGCAAGGTGGCAATAGGGAACTATGCTTTCATCTGTCATCTGGATCAAGTTAACAATGAAACTCTCATGAATGAGGTTCAAATGAGGAAAAATACTAAGATTTGTTGCTCTGGGATATAGGTGTAATACAATTCAATAGCTATTACTTTCCTTTGGATTTTCTTCTCAACCTCTCTTCATTTAATGGAATTTGAAATATTTCTACAATATTCACTTTCAATAGGGTAGGATTTTTCCCTGTATGAGAAGGAGGCAGATATAAAGCCTGCAAGCTGTCCTGGAGCTCTCCAGGGGTCTAATTCTTAAAGCACGAAATTTAAAATCTAGAAACCCACATTCTAAGTTTGATTCTGCAATGGCCTCTTCTTGTCTTCAATGACACTGAAACTCTTTTTCTTGGGTTCTCACTGTTTGAAAATAAGCATTCTAATATTTCCACAAAAAAACTCTTAAAATTTCATGTGGCAGGCATTTAGTTCTAGTTTTCATGATTCCTAATAATACTGGGTGATTTTATCTGAGCTTTTTTTCTCCTGGGACAATACTTTAGAAAACAGAAAAAGGCAATGATCTAAAAAATGACATTCTTCAGATTACAGAGTTTGCTGATCTCATCCAGAAGCTGCATGAACGTATTGGAATGAACCTAATTAAGCCAGCTCTGGCCTTACTCTCTCCAAATAAAATCAGTTTTCACATTAGACCAATATTTTTGTACATTCTTTAAAAGTTGTTGTCATCTGAAGACAAGGGAAGACTTTCTTACCATTTCTACTACTGCACAACCCAGATGTTACTAACTGCCATGAATACAATTTATAGTGGATTTGTTATTTGGCAAGTTACAGTTCATTAAATATTGGACAGCAAATGCTGAACTTGACCTCAAACACACCTAAAGTTCAAGACATTACACGTGTCACTCACAATTTTTT